ACATTGTACTGTTATGTTAATGCTAAAAAACTATTGAATAAAAGGACGTTTAAGTTTAACTGTCGTGAAAGAATTCGTCAAAGTATAAGAAAGGTAAAATGTCGTGCCAGTCGATATTTAACATTGTTTTCTTGTAACAAACTGATGTGTTCTTGCAAGAGTGAGGCTTATATAGCAAATTATTGCAACTCCAAATTAAGTAGAGACATTGGTCCTCCAATATATTTTGACCCTAACAAAACAATGGCAGTTCCATAAAGCCAAGGTAACGAGTTAGTTTTTGGACAGATTGCAAGACAAAAATGTGTTGCAATGAGTTTGTGCTCTTTGATTTACAATAACACACCGGGGATCAGCTCTGCAAATGATCTTATACAAATAATAAATATTCAACTTTGTCATGATTAGCCAGACAGGCATTTTTAATGCAGTCAGAACTACCAACGGTATTAACTGTGTTTGATACTGATTATCAAATGGAATATAGTGAAAACTACTCTGGTACTGTTCACCAAGAAACTGCTATAGAGGGATATCAGTACTGTACTTTTTTACAAAGAGCCTTTGAGTCACTCATATCTGAAAACTACACTAATTTCATATTAACAATAAGGTGTATTGCTGTTGTAATCCATTGTTATAGTAACATAGGGTTCAAAATATTTTATTCTCTAGAGATTTGTAAGGTTGAGGGCATCCTCAAGACACATGTGTTCTTCTCGAAGTATTGTCCCTTCATAGCGAAGTGCATTATTTTCAGAGTATACACAACAGTGATATATTTGAAGTGAGAAGAGTACAAATTGAGAATATTGAAAATAGGATGGTTTCTCAAAACAGTGTGAATGAAACCACAAACTTTAATCTAAGTTGTGCTGTAGCTTTATACCCTCTTTTCTAACTCCAAATGGAAACAAACCAATTGGAGGGTGATAGTACGTAATATGCTGGAGTGTATTTCACAGGTTCATGAGAACCACTCTAACAACCCCATAAAATTAATGATTCATCTGCTAATAAGCAGTGGTAGTGACTTTTTGTTTTCTTTTGGTATTTAGAAAAATAAGCAATTGGTTTTCTTGCATGGGTTAATAGCCATCACCCTAACACTTGGGGTTGTTTATAATTAAAAGCTTTCTCAGCCTGGAATCTTTTGTTAACCAAGAAAAATAAAACATAAGAAGACAGCCTATTTGATAAATGGTTCAGCCCACTACAAGTCAAAACTCAAAAAAGGGGAAAAAAAATGGAAATAATGTTGAGGAACAAGTATTGAAGTAATAGCCATCAATGTAAGGCACTAACTCCCCCTACCCCAGAAAAGGGTCTTTACACAACATAACAAATGCTGTTGTCAGCTCTCACAAAGAAAAAAACAAATATGCATCCAGTTTGCTTTAAATCGCATCTTTTTCCCAGCCAATGAGGAGGCTACACCAAAAACAAAACAACCAATCAGATTTCAAGGCTGGTTTGAAGTAATCTATCAAATTGCAGGAAAATGAAAACTTTTTGCAACTTTTGTTTCCAAAACTCTTATTTTTCCCCCCAGAAAATGGATGAATTTAATTTCAAACCGGCTCAGTACTGCATCAATAAAATATTTGAACTGACCAAGTCCTGTATTTGGGCGATTTCAAAATGGATGTAAAAAAGTGGTAATTGAATCTCGTGTTGTGCACTTTTCGTCTGAAGTCATACTTGTGATTTCAAATCAAATTAGCGCTGCCCGCTTGTTCGATTTTGAAATCATGCATATGATTTCAGCCCAAATTGCACTCCACTCAGTTCAATTACCATTTTAAATCATTCACTCCAGATAACAAAATCAAATAAAAGTGCTAACGATGGTATCTGAATTCGTCCTTGGCCAAACCCAAATGACTCCACAAGATCACTCTCAATTGGGACCCAATATTTCACAGGTCACAAATTTAGAAGGGAAAACTTCAAATATCACCTTTCCTTTCCTTTCTGTAAAATTCACATGTCACATAGTAATTGTGGGCTACTGATAGTTGTGAGTCACTTGTCAACCCTTTGCCACCCACTTCTATGATTAATGAGTTTTTAATAACAAATTCTTTGGTAGGAAGCAGCAATTTTTCTCATGGAGGGAAAGAACAACAACCGCTTTGAAACCCATCCCACCCCTCAAACATTGCGATGGTACCTACGAGCAAATTCCCAAAAATTCTATGTTTTGGAGCTGATGGCTGCATTGATTCTTCTTGCCTTGGGACTCACTGAAAAACCACCAGCACTAAAAGCTAATAATTTGAGTGTTCCAGTCGAGGTAAGTGTACACTCAGCTCTAAGCAGAGGTGTTATGGGAGTGTGTGTGTGTGGGGGGGGGGGGGGGGGTTTGAAAGGGAAAGTCCTACAACATATGGCTTTACAAATGGCTGTACAAAGTATGAATAAAGGGGGTAAGTTTCAAACTTTTGCTTGAGGCTTGGAAACTAGACAGACTTTGAATTGACATGATAACCAAATATCTGTGGCAGATACTGGGTTATCGTATCAACTTCACATGCTATTGTATACTAAATGTATGCTCATAGTTTCCATAGGGTTAGCCTAACCTTAAGCAAGTCTAATGTATAATAATGTCCATTGGCCACCATAAAGAGTTTCTAAAGCTGATATTTCCAGCTCTAACCCTTCATCAAAGCAAAAGTGTGATCCTGATGTAGAAAATGACAATGAGAAGATGCAAAAAGGAATATTTTACTGGGCCAATTTTATAATGGGAAAGTGTCTCCCAATTTGAGGGTCACTATGGCTCTCCTTAACCTCCCCTCCTTTACAGATACAGATTACACTTGTGATTATAATGCAGTTGTATTTTTGGGTAAATGCACAATAATTAACCTCTAAGTTGTGTTTTAACATGACTTCCTTAAGCATAGAGAGATTGATTCTATAAGTAGTCAAGAAGTAAATCCTTCAGTATCAACCAATGATTGAAATAGCAGTTTTACTGAATAATTTAGAGGGCTTACTATTTAATATGGGTAATTGATATATATAAGATTAATAATTTGATATTGTAAATTACAATAATGAATTCAATATTGTTTACCAGGTTCATGCAGCCGTGGAGGTTCTCTCTCTGGTGATTGTCTTTGCTGGACTTGCTGTAAAACTGAAATGGCAGGGAGCAAAGTTTTTCTTCTCCTATAAGAGAACGCGTTTCACGGTACATTACAGTGCTACTTTGGTTGTAACATGCATTAATTTTCCATCACAAAGGGTTGATAGAGGGCTTTTCAAGTGAAAGTATAAAAAAACAAAGCCAAATTAATTACAGCGACAACCAGAAAAATGAAAAAGAAATTACCAGAAGCTGATTAGGACTTGAGTTAAAAACAACCAGAATGCTCAGAGGATGGAACTAAATGTGCACAAGCTATCACACTGCAATTGGTTGAATTTTTACATCTAGTTCGTTGAGAAGGTAGTAAAACTTTTATAGACCAATCGCCAAGTGAGTGATTGTAATCTTGGATTGTTCTCAACACTTGATTGAAATTTCTCTATCTGGAAAAACTGGGTGTGGATATTTTAGTAAGGTAATTAGCACCATTATTATAATTGTAATTGGAAAGGAAGTGAGACTCAGAGGGAGTACTTAGTTTAATAAAAATGACAGGGATTCTTACTATCTAGAACCTCTTAAGTATTATAGATCGATATGGGTCTGGCAATATGTTTTTTGGCTTGCTGAAATACCAATCCAACTTTAAAACAATTCAAATGTTTCATTTACCATCAGGTTTTTATCTGGTGCGTGGTATTGATAGAAGCCATTGTGGTGCTGGTGAGAAGGGAGAATCATTTTCGAGTAACAAGATCTCTGCGCCCACTCTTTCTTATTGAAACGCATTACTGTTCTGGGGTGAGAAGGTGAGTCTCATTCTGTAAGTTAAAATTGAAGTTAAAATTGACACTGTGGTTTGTGTAAATAAATTTGTTGTTCATTGTGCCAACCTCAGAGTATTAACAGGATCCAAAAATCTCTCCTGGAAGAATTTTCCCACCAATTCGTGATCAATGGTGAAATAACACCAATCTCAAATATAGATGTTAGGGAGGGACCAGTTTTGGGGTTCACTGTTCAAGGGCTACAGATCAGTTTATCTTAGGGATCATCCTATAAAGAGTACCCCCCCAATCAGGGGAAACAAAGCTGTAACATATCCTGATAAGAGAGCACTGGGATTGATAATCCACCAATTCAAGACGTTGGCAGCAAAATGTCTTTGGCTGTTTCGAACTTCTATTTTCTGAAATGACTGTTATTTCTTCCTGTTGTTTGAATGAGATTCATGCACTCTCTTTTACTTTAAATTTTTAGGGTTCTCAGACAGATTTTACGTTCACTTCCCCCAATCCTGTACGTGCTCTTTCTGCTGTTTTTTATCATGGTAATCTTTGCTATGTTAGGTAAGAAATAAGAAAAAAAATTAGTATTAGAGAAGTATGCTCCAGAAATCAGTTGTTAGCTTTTATGTTGTTCATTAGAAGGAATGATATATGAAAGGCACTGGTTACCAAATTCTGAGATTGATTAGAGTTAACTCCATGAATTCCTAAATTAAATGATTTGTGGAGAATAGTTATCTAATGGAGTGTAGATTGTAGAAATTGTTTTCTAGTTTACTAATCATTCTTATAACAGTTGAAGAGACATTTGGTTCAGATGCGATCTACCATCTTTTAGCATTGTTTTATGAATCAACATTTCACTAACAGTTTCTGTAATGGGGCCAACACTGACATAAATCAATCTAACAACGCTGCGTCAGAGAAATTTTTTATATTGACGGAACCTCCAAGTGTCTATTAAATCTCAATTCATTTATTAAACTTGAAAGCTCGTAAAAATTGAAGTACATTAAATTGAAAAAAGCCATTACCATTCAATATACACTAATCAAAATGTCCTAAACTCAAAACATGCGGGGCATGTATACAGTTAAATCTAAAGAACATAAATATCCTAAGTGATACAAAACTACCCTTGAGTGTACACGTTTAGGTATATAAATCCAAATATAAACAAAATGACATACCTCTTTCCCCATCCTATTACTCTAATATTTCAACAATCCTTCAATCTATCTTCTCTTCTGACTACACGTGTAACTCACACGTCTCGTGGCTGAATGAAACATAATGCTAACAATTCAAAAGTATGTCACACAAACCAAAGGGTATTGAAAGTCATGCAAATAACTAAAAATAGCCTTCATTACAGTTTCCTTATTGCTTGCAGGGTTCTATCTGTTTTCTGACAATGAAAAGGATGAGGTAATTTTATTTTAGTTACTAAACCTACTTATCAAACATGTTGACATATTTGACAGACCAATTTTCTTTTCCACCATCTCACCTCACTTGCATGCTAGATTATTCAATTAAAGAAAAGTTCACTGCTTATTTGACTTCTAGTCTTTCCAAGGACTTCTATTTAATTCAGTCTCCTTTTGAAAATTTAGTTTTTCAGCAGCTTTGGGAGAAGCTTCATCAGCCTATTTGTGTTACTTACAACAGCAAAGTAGGTGAAATTAAATAGTTATTCATAAGTTAAGCAAGAATGATTTTAGTTCCTTGAAATATTCTCCCTCTTATTAATTACACTAAATTTGTGGATTCTTTTCTACAGTTACCCTGATGTAATGATGCCAGCATATAACAGATCACGATGGTCTGTTATCTACTTTGCTGTTTACATTGCAGTTGTTCTTTACTTTCTCATGAGTCTGGTAAGGTTTCAAAGCACCACAATGTATAAATTGTGGCACAGACATGCACCACATTATTGCCAGCTAATATTAATATATTTCCACTGGTCTCTACCAATCTGGCAAGTCACTTGACTCTGATGATGACTTCTGCTCAGGTTGTTGAATGTCAGTCACTATAACCAACAACACTCTGAGTCCTCTTAGGACTACTCTCACCTGGACAATCAGACTACACAGTCATTTACTATGTATGGTAATTACCACCCAGTTTTCTTGACCTGTTTCTTTTAACCTTTTAACCCTTAAGACTAGGATCTAATTTCTCCATACATCATATATTATACATCATCCCTGAATCAAACTAAGGTCAGTGGAATAAAGGAAATGATTGTGAGGTCAAGAAGCTCTTGATTATTATGCAAATTCTCCCTGTAAGTACCTTAGAAAACTTGTAGAACATAAACAATTAGAGAAAATTATTAATCAGGAGATATCTTTTCCTGTTAGTCACCAGACCATAAGTCACTCAGTCAGTACTTTATCATGACAAAAAGTTTTGTAATTTTTTTTCCAAATTTTGGCCCCAACCAAAATTAATTACATGTCGCCCATGGTAAACATATAATGTTTTCTTGCTTTAACATTGCAGCTTTTGGCTGTGGTTTATGATGCCTTTACAAACATTGTAAAGAATAAGTTTAGTAAACTCTTTCTTCATAAAAGGTAAGAATCTCTGGGGCAAATCAGTTGAATTTTGGCTAGTGTCTGCCTGGAATTCCAGGCAACTACTCCATGATGTCAACTCAACACCATCCACAGTATCTCTTTCTCTTCCCTCTATTCTCCTTCTTAATGGTCCAGGTCAGGGAGGAAAGAAAAATCTTAAGAATCTGACACACTTCAGAGTAACAAAAGTTTCTCAGACTTAAAGTGTGTTTGTTAAAGTCTTGACTGGTTGTTTTCTTTTCTTTAAGGGAAGGTATAAGAAAAGCTTACGAACTTCTCAAAGGTGAAAATGTAAGTTGTTGATAAGTTAGTAATGTATCAATCTATTATTAACAATTAACTGGTCAGTCAGTCAGTCAAATAGGTCATCTTCTGTCTGTCAGTGGAGCAGACAGCCAGGAGACAAGCACTGGTAGGCCATGAGTCAGTCAGTAAGTTAGGCATTAGGTTGTCAATCTAGTGGTCTGTCAGTTTGTCTTTTGAGTTAGTCAATACCCAATGAATTAATTCCCTGAAATAGTCCACTGTCAAATAACTATTGTGTCAAACTAAATATAACAACTTAGGTCTTGATTTAAGGCAGGGTCATTTATACGTCAATAACAAATTTTCTGGCACAAAAAAAATAATCTACCTCTGAGGTAAGATAATTTACACTTTTTTTCATAGCCTCCACATGGGATCCCATGGGAAACTTTTAAAGGCTTGATGTCATATTACGACCCCAAAAGGAGTAAGTGCTTTAATTTACTTCTGGCTTATAAGTAAAAAATGTGCTCAAAGTGTTTATTACTTTTTACGAGTTCGCAGTTAACTATAATATTTTGAATATTATTATCGATAGTCAGTCAATAAGAGCCTGGACTAGTCTAAAATCTTACTCACACACACTATTGTTGTGGTTTAAATATTTTAGAGAAATATTATTAAGGTCAATCATCTGAAGATTGTTACTTTTCCAACAGCTGATGTGGAGAAATATCTTTGTTTTAAGTCACTAAATAAAAGTAACACTGGACAACTAAGGTAATGTTCTCTTTCAAAAATGCATTATTTTTAGGTTTTTCTAAAGATTTGAATTGGTGATTCATTTTTCGGCTTAACTGTAGTTTAGAATTTATTTGGTTTCTACATCTGGTACCATTGTAGTTTGACTGTGACTCAATATTTATACTTACTGGTAGTGATCAACTTTTATTTTAGCCTGGATGAATTTTACAATGTTTTTGAAAACAGTGAGATGAGGTGGAAGCGGGTATGTGTCTATTATTTTATCGAAAGAAATTGAAGAACATTTTGAAAAACACAATTTCAAAACCTGCTAAAACTGCTGTAAAAATCGTGCTATGATTTATCTCACATGGTTACTGTTGTTGTTTTCTTAAAGGTAACAGAACATCACGATCAGTGGTTTAGCTGTTTTAAGTCACGCAACTGTTTGTACCGCACACTCGAAGGCAAGATTTAATATCCATGTTCAGTGTACTTGAACTGTCTTTTTTTAGAGCGCTGTTCGAATTGAGTGTCGTAAAACCAAAACCAGAGTAGCGTCATCCGCCAATCAGAAGACAGGAAAATACTTTAAGAGCCAATGAGAACTCAAAGTGAGAAGAAGCAAACTGCCTAAAGCGCGGGAAAACGCGGGTGACCATGTCGCGATTGATTTTAGTTTTGAATCTGATTGGTTGAGGAAGTAGTGGAAGTCTTCCGGACCAATCACCAAACGAAAGAAAGCAAAACCAAAGCAATTCCGAATTACTTTCGACACTCAATTCAAAATTGCTATATAAGTGGGAATTAATTGTCCAGCCAAGACAGGGAGGATAACGACAGTGTAAACGCTTATTTTTACCTCTGGTTCCTTTGGCCTTGGATATCTCAGAAATTATATCTTTCTTTTGTAAAATAGAGAATTGTGAGCAGTTGGCAGGAAGTTATTCATATAAACTTTTCTGATGTGGAATTCTCTTAAATCTCCTCATCCACTTCTAGTGGCCTTTTTGTCAGTCTTCAAAAAATTGTTCTTGAAATTTTTCAAAGTCTTTTTCTGTATATCTCCCTGGATTTTTCAAGGGGTGTTTTGTTTGTAATTCTGTGTGAGCTTGTTAAGAAGTATCCTTGAAGACTTTAAACCTACAAACCCATTCGTAAATAACTAAAACCATTGAAAATAGTTCAAAGTCTTAGAAAAGTTTTGAGAATTCTTGGAAAGTGAACGATTTGTTATGACCAGTCCAGAAACAACCAAGTCACGAAATTCATGCGATCAGCATGAAAAGCTTCCTCCGCTTGATTGCTATAGTTTCCAAAACCCCAAGTTGGTGACAAATGCCAATTAATGATTATTGTCTTATCGAAACTTAGATGTGTAAATTCGTCCTGATACAAAAGTCTAATTTTTTTCACAGGTATTCACAGGCTCATATCAGAGAAAGCTTTTGAGATCGTCATCTGTAAGTCTCTTTGAATCTTTGCTGCTAAATTGTAGAACTGCATTTCACTTGAATTTAGCAAATTCACTCACACTTTGGAATATTGTCTTGTAATTTCCAGATATTTCAAGGGCTGAAACGTAAAGAAATTAACTCAAACGTTTTTAGAGGCCTTGTCATAATAGCTAAGCTTCATTAATTAGACCTACATACAAACATTTATTGGCCTTGAACTCCGCCTCAGGTAATGCTTAGCTAGTCTTCATAATACATTCAGATCATTAATTTCTGCTTTGAATAATCGTCTTTGAAATTTTCTTCTTTAACAGACGTAATTATTTTTACAAATGGGATTTCAGTTGTTTTGGATATCATTAAGTTTTCCAGTAAGTTATTTTCTCCTCTTTGATCTTAAGCTTATCCAATTATGTCGTTAAAAAATCTGTTTAGACTTGAAGTGTTTCATTACACTAAGCAACGAGGCGGCGGCTTATCAAAACTGAAGGCATTTCTCTTGACCGGTCTCGTGACTAGTACCAAAAGCGGGAAAAACGCCCGTGAAAAAGCCGCGGCGCGTGTTGGGTTGGCCTCTGATTGGCTAAAATAGTGGAGTGAGTTTTGTGAGTCAATTAGAAAACGCTGGACAGTTACCCAAATAAAGAAATTCTGTCCATCGGTGCATAGATGATATTTGTTCTGACCGAAAAATGTGTTGAGCGTTCCATGCAAAAGATTTTATTTACTCTTTATTTGCAGACACTCCTCAAACTGAAAGGCAAAAGAAGATAACAGAGCTCCATTGGTACCATATAGTCTTCATTTGTAGTGAGTTGATTCATCGATGTGACATGTATTTTTTCAAAAATTTTTTTTCTGATACGATGCATAGCTCGATTTATCTTTGTAAAGGTTTGTAAGTTGGTTCCGTATTGGATTTAAATTATTTAGGCTGATTTTAAAGACTCTTTCAGATATTTGCAATGCAATTTTAATGTTTCCAGTTTATGCAACAGAAGCCTTGCTCAAACTCCTTGGTCTTGGTTTAAGGAAATATTTCCGGTCTGGCTGGAATATGTGAGTATTTAAGAACGGAGTTTAAGTTGTGCTTTCTTGTGTTGCAGTTAAGGCTATCGTTTCTGACTTTGTAGAGTCTTTGTAGCTTCTGACTTGCAACTAATTTTAGCTCAGCAACAACCGTGAATATCGACACTGATTGCATTTCGCACGGTGCACAACTGTGTGTATTAAGTGAACAGGCATTGAAGGATAGATACATTGCAGATGTTTGTTTGTTTGTTTTTTTTGTGGGAAAAAACTTTGAAATATGTCAAACTGTTATTTACATATTCCAACAGCACCAGCTGTTAGCCAAAGAAAGTAAATATGTTTTAGAAGAGTTTTCCCCGAATTCAGATCATTAGCTCTATAATCTGGGATTAATTGTCGGTATCTGAGCAACTGTAGATATGCACCTACCCCTCCCCAAACCCAACACTAACCTTCGCTCAGTTGTTATCAGTTGACTGTTGTCGAGTTAGGGGAGGGGTGGGTGTGCAGTTGTTTAATTACTGACATTGATCCATTAACTTCCTTATCGTGAACTAAACGCTTCTATGGTTACGCTATCTTACAGATTCGACTTATCTGTAACTGTGGCTGGTTTTATTGGTGCAGTTTCAACATCCTTCAGTTTTATCGTCTGTGTGAGACCCTTGAGACTTTTGCTGTAAGTGTTCAGTTCTTTTTAAAAAATCTTATTGAGTTCTTCATGTTACTAAAGCAATTAATATTCCTTGCAGACTTTTTAAAGCGGAAAAAAGATACCGTGACTTGTTTGAGACAATAGGTTTCTTGTTACCTCGAATGGCCAGGTAATGCTATCTCTGTTCTAGTGGAATTGTCCAATGTTATGTAGGCGTTGCACTGTTGCTGAAAGTTTATTCATGGCTGAGCGTGAGAATGACAGTTTGTCACGCAACGTCTTCTGTTAGGCTAATGCGATTTGCTAACGTCACCCAAGCACTAACGTTACTCACAAGACACGATTTTTCTCTCAGAGTTGCCGTCGTCATTCTGTTGATGTACTACTCGTTTGGAGTCATTGGAATAGAATGCTTCTCTGGACTCGAACTAAAGAATTGTTGTGTGTAAGTATTTTCCGTTCCAGTTACAGTCTTTTATCGAATATTTTTTCACATGGATTCTTTACAGGTAGTCTCTCAAACTAATGATTGTTTATCGAAACGACCGCATGAAGACCAAGCTCGATCTAATGTTCGGCGTGAAAGTGATATAATGTAAGTCGATCACGTTAAGGCTAATTTGGTGTACGAACATTAGGGGAAGTAGTATTCCGCATATGTTTGAAACCAAAAATAGCTCAAGTGAAATCGACGTACCCTACCCAATAACCAGTCTGTCCTCTTATTTCCTTTCATTATCTTTTGGATGGTCTCAGTTCAGCCACAAGTCACCTTTAGCTCGGGGTTAAAAGTCTTACGAACTAGTTGTCTGGAAGATCGTTGGGTCGAATCCCTGTTGAAGCGCTGAACATTTGTTTCTCTCCAATATGTCGGTCACCGACTCAACAACCTCGTCTTTCCTAGCATTGAGTTTTATTTTGCACACTATCATGCAGAACAGGCATTTCTTTGACGTATTTTAGTCGAGCAGTGATTTTCAGGCTGTGCGGCGGAAGCATTCGTCCCTATTGCTCGCCTCGGCTGAGAAATGCACAAAAATCCGCCAGCATTTTTAGACCTATGATAGATTGAGAGAGAGAGACCTATGAGAGATTGAGTAAGACGTTACGATTTACATTTTGGTATTCCTGAATGTATCTCATCTCTAACTGTATTTTTTTTATTTTGCACAGAAACACTTCGTGGGAAAGAACATACAAGGAGGGTGGCTATCATTTGAACAACTTCGATGATTTGCTACATTCATACGGCAAGTGCCTTAAAACTGTTTCCTGGGTAAAGTATTATCGCAAATAGGGAAGAACCACAAATGAAGCACTTTTTTATAACTAACAAAGGACATCTAGTTTAAGGATGACTAGTTTCTGTGTTATAGGCAGCTAAACCACATTGAGGGACACCCCACGTCTACGCTCGATTTCCGCCGTTTTCTTAAGTTCGTTCTTTGTTCGATCTTCCCCGGCGGGGGGTGGGGGAGGGGAGTAGGCAGGTAATAGAGCGTACCCTCTGTCGCTATCACCCCGGTACTACAAAAGACCTCTTTTCACCTTTCAGTTGTAAAACGTATGTAAACATCCTACAATTAGCATACACTTATCGTAATTATTTGCGTCATTGCGTCACTTAATGAGATTTTACAGAAATAGCCAATCATGAGGTAAATTTTGATAAATGGGCCTTTTACTGCTACGCAGGTAATTAAAAATTAAAAATCTTTCTCCAACTCACCCACCAACTCACTTCTCTTTCCGCCTCATGCTTGCAATTTTCTCAAATTCTTTAAATTGGCCACCCTTCCATTGGAGAGTTTCATCACATGGTATATAACCGTTTTTTATTACGTTTCTCTGCAGTGACTTTGTTCGAGTTGACAGTGGTAAACAACTGGTTTATAATAATGGTAAGAAAACACGATTGCTTGTTTCGGTGTTCCACTTGCTTCATAAGCTTCCGACGGTGTTTAGTTGGATCAGCCTTCGTGAGTGCATGGGATTCCTGTGTATCATTATAGTTGGGTTTAATTGGTTACCTTTTGGTGGAGCTAACGGCTTGTTTTGTGCAACTTCTGGATTAGTTTTTGCCTTTTCATAATCAGCTTTCTTTTCCTATTTATTGACAGGAAGGGATAGTATACCTGACATCAGACTGGGCCAGTGTATTCTTTATGTTATTTTACATTGTCACAATGGTAAGTCATAAAATCACCGACTATCATAGTTACACAAGTTTTTAGACAAAGATCTGCATACTTGGGCTTTTGAAATAGCTTCGGGGGAAGGGGTACGAAAGTCAATGTTTGCTGGGTGTGTGTCGCTGTCCTGTCATAACCACTAACCCATTATAGACTGTTTTGTGGCCAATTAAAGATCCCATCCTAGTCACATTTGGGCCTACACGGTAAGTTTAGGAGAGCTACTCTTCAGCGAGTTACTTAGGCTACCTATTAGGTCCATATGCGACACGCGGAGATAGAAAAATTATTATAGAATGAAAGAGATGATAAATTTTGACCCTGGTAGATGAGTAACCAAAACGTTTCTGAAACATTTCAGGCTTTTTTAGCTTCTTTTATCTTCTTCTATGTGCCTTTAGAAAATAATTATTTTACCATAGTTTTACCAGTTCTCGGTAGTCAGGTAATCAAGTATCCTCTTTTTCTATCTTATTTTGACCAGGTTGTTATGACAATAGTTGTGGCGTTTATCCTGGAAGCCTTTCGCTTCCGGATTAAATATAGACAAGAACATCCTGCAGACGAAGAAGGTGAAGAGCTTCAGATGTTACTGTAATCGAGACTGTTCTGGACCACTCCGCCGTAAATAACAACATTGAAATGATGAAAACGTTCTCCGTTGTCTCTTTTGTCAATGAATTTCGTATTTCAAAGATCACGTATCTTCGATCGTTAGTGGCGTCACAGACGTTGTACAGCAAAATAAACCTAAGTCGTGTGTGTTACCTTTCAACCTTCCATAAAAAAAGGAAAAGGTTCGCAAAGCGTACACATTATACGAAGTGGCGTTAATTTTTTTGCTTGTCAAGATGGAGAATAGCTGCACTTAGAGGAAAGTGTATTCAATATTGACAGAATGGTTTACCTCTCCACAGAGGATATGAAAATCAGGATGGAAATCATTGTGACCTACGAAGAACTCCTGGCCTTGGGCGAAAGCTATGTCGAAGATCTGCAGCCCCATCAGCCCGTAAGAATATCATTATTTCGTAGTCTGTCAGACATTTTCAGTCAACTCCCAAGTTTTCTGTTTTTAAAGGAATGTTCCTTGAGTCATGAAACACCAACTTCGTGACTTCAACTCAAATTCCTGGCCCATCAAGATACCAATCAGAGATCTGCCGCTAACCCACGCAGCAAGCATAGGACATGATTTCCCACTTCGGTAGTATCAAAATGACCGTATATTTATGGTCTCCATTTGCGCTATATTCCGTTCAACAACTTAACAATAAGTTCAAAACTTTCAATCTACTATCACTGGTTATCAAAATGAATTACGAGATACCATCCAAGGGTCCCGCAAGACAGCTTCCTATGCTCATCAGATACATTCAACCGTTGAGAGACCCATAAGTTGCATTGAACGTATAAACAGGTATCGTTATTTAAGGGTTCTTGTTCATAAATTTTACACTTGTTGGGCTGTAGCATTTTGGTCGATATACTAAGGTCTCAAATGCGTAGCGGCCTGTTGTACCGAGGTTTAACTGTTTCAATACAGTTTGAGACTGTTGTGTGACTCGCGTACACTCATTTCATTGCAGGTTCATTACGAAGGAAAACGCCCCAAGACGAAAATGGATTTGAGAGTAAGAATGTACGACGATGAAGTCAAGGTATAAACTTCTCATTGATCATTAATTGATGAATTATTCGGTAGTAAATAAGTCAGTTGTTAACTGATGAATTATTCTGTAGTAAATTAGTCAGTTGTCAATTGTTAAATTACACTGTAGTAAATTAGTCAGTTAGACAAGTAATGTAAAAGCGACGAGGTCACACCATTTTGTCATTGCGCCCCTTTTTCTTCGTTCTTTGAATATTATCTCGTTTGTAATAAACCTGTTTCGCTTTTCCTTGTAGCAATGGATACAAAATGAAGAGCCCCTCGAAATAGGAGAACCTTCAGCGCACGCTCATATAACAGAAGACACAATGGCCATGTCTCCTACCAACTCTCCTTCATCATCAGTCCCCGCGAACACGTCATCTAATGGTCTTGTGACTGATGAAGTAACAATGGGAGAAGTAAACATAGCGTTAGACGAATAAGACGCCACCTTTTGAAAATGGGAGCGGGAGAAACAGATACCCTCCAACAAGGTTCAACAGATTACTCTATTATGTATATATACTCAGTAAACTCTTACCTAACATGAGGCGGATACCAGTCTGATCGGTTCCTAAGAGCGCTTGAAAAACCAATTGCATAGTATGCGGTTGGTTTTTCAAGCGCTCTTATCAATATATCTGGGGCTGCACTAGCGTCATGCAATGAACTGTAAATATGTAGCGCCGCATCGTTTGTCACACAACGAAAGCTTAGAGCGCCAGCTCAGTGTATATTCGGCTGGAAACTGAAAAAAGAACTTCTTAGACCAGGTTAAAATGGTAAAGTTTTACTTAATATGAACAAATCTGCCAAAATGTTTAGATTTCCTAGGGACTATTTTCATTCCAAAAAAAAATCCCATACTCTAGGAAAGTCTTTCAGATTGAATAGTCCTTAACACTGACCAAGAAAAATTATATTTTATGCGTTTTATGATATTTTTTTCGGAAGCTTAAGCTTACATTATTCCAGTTTAACATACATAGTCATCTTTGGGAAGGTGCTCCAAGGGGGCTTATAAGAAAATCTTTTTCTCCAAATGACAAGGTTCCAGTTTTAGTTTACTGATGATTCTGGAGCTTCTGAGGGTGCAATTGACTTAGGGGGACCAAAGAGAGAATTCTTTGACCTGGTTCTGACATTCTTGACTGCTCATTGGTTTGTAATTGAGAGGGTCCATGCAGTATTTGAGCAATTTAAAGGAGGGCTATCCTAACTAGGTTTCCTTGAAGCTATGACAGAAAATTAATAGAAATTTAAGGGTTTTTTGGCTGTTCTGAAGTAACACTAACTGCAGAATTATTTGGTTGTCTTTTTTCTGTCCATTATAGTGAAACTGGTTCAAATAATTGCCAACTTGAAGGGCTAGTGTTGTCGCAGTGGAATGATTTTTACAAGATGCTTAGGAAAAAACAATAGAGTTGACTTTCAGAGATATTCTTTGTTATATCAGTGGAGTTAGGGAAGTTCCCCTAGGTGGTATAGAACTGCACATTGGCTTCCTTCATGCACCTGAGCAATGTGGTGAAAAATCCAAGTTACCAAAAGCAATGCATTTTCCTGCCAGTTGCTATTACCAGTGATGCATGACACATATGATGACTTTAAAAAAGATATCACCTTTGCATTTACAAATACCAGGGGATATGAACATGCATGATGTTTTAAAACTCTTCCCCCAGTCTTTTGAAATTAAATGGTCTTAATACTGTTCTTGTTCATGTTTAACTGAAAGGGTAAATGCAAATGAATAAAAATGTCACCTTTGCATTATTTTATAAATACTAGGGGATAGTAAATGATGTTTCAAAACACTTTCCTTAGTCTTTTGAAAACTAAGGTTGCAGTATCGTTCTTGTTCTTGTTTAATTAAGTGAAGTAAATGGATACAAGTAAAGTTCCACTTTACCATATTGTATCTCATTTCTAAATGTTAAAGAGTAGAGCACCTGTCGAGAAAGACAAATGCCCTATCAGAGTAATCACAAGTTGTACTTTTGTGTACAACCAATGTTGCAATCTTGTTTGCACTTAAAGTACTGAATAAAATGCATAACATTTCATCTGAAAAATTGGTGGAAATTATTTCAATCTGCTGCTTTACCATGGTACCACTGGATTGTACTAAAATGTCCTAGAATGACTTATTGTGAAACTTTAATTAAACGTTGGAAAAGTGTTGATGCCTCCCTCCAGTTTGTTGGACAGCGTAAATTTAAACTCTCCAGCGCATAATTAAAATACTCCATAAAATGTTTTCTTCTGTGTCTGTTGTACTGTACAAAGCCATATCATAAAGTTGTTGTTCTGTAAAGGGACATCTGAAATCTTCAAACCCACTGTTCTCTGGAAGGTAGAAAAGCTCATCAGGCCTACCTGGGATTGTATCGTGATGTGATTTTTTATTGTAATGGGTGTTCCAGTTATCCCTTACATGATCTAGGTCTGCCTGCAAGACATCTTTACAACAGAACCACAAACAGGACATACTTGATTCACTAGCGGTATTGACAATGTTTGTTTCAACTGTGTCTTAAAAAAAATTAATCAACCGTGTTAATCTGTCATGCCAATAAAACGACCACCATCCTTCTATGCGCTGGTTTGCTGGGGACGATCCGTACCTATGTGCATTTAATCCAGCTTGGTGGTCGTTACCATTTCCTCGAAAATAACATTGCATGGTCGCCATGGTCACATTTTCAGTTCCACAGCCTGTTCGGAGAACTCTTGGGCAATCTCTATTTGATTTGACCCAATCGTAAAACAATGAAGCTAAGTGGCATAGGTCATTATTCCAGGGGCAAATTTTCAACAACATGACTCGACGACTGAAACCGTCCACCGCACCATGAGTAGGAAAGCCGTATGGCTTTAACTTATCGCAGCCGTCAACGTGCCAAGCAAAATTCGGGCCTGGGTTAGTTTACGACCTTCTCCTTAGTGCATAAGCATTTCGCAAGGCTGTTCTTTAAGGGTCAACTTGTTGTAAAATTCCTTCTTGGAGCCTTTATTCCGTAATCCAAACGAGATCATTT